ATAAACAAATATTTTCTGTGAAATTCAGTAATTAAGTTAATTCTGTAAAAGTAGTTATACCATTATAATCTTACCTCCTGAAAAAAAACAAAAACAATAGAACCCCTCCCAAAAACACAATAAAAAATGTAATGGATTTCAGGGTTATAATGGGAATTGTATTGGTTTTAATGTAAACTATAATGGTGTCGTCATCAGCGACTAGTCGACTTCGACTCGACTTTTATCACATAAAAGTCGACTTCGACTCGACTTTCATCACATAAAAGTCGACTTAAAAAAAATCAGAAGTCGTTCAACCCCTAGTTTGTACACAATTTAACACAATATTGATCCGTTTGGATAAATAGTGTTATTGCTTCGGGGATCATGTCTGAAGTAGAGTATTTGCTTATTCTCAAGTCAAACTGTAAACAATAATATTCAGTTTAGAAATGTCCCAAAATCAGTTCCAACAGCAAATTAAGTTGTTATTTTTCACAAAAATCAGTAATGACAAATGCAAAATCCACTCAGCAAAACATTAAAAAGAACAGAATCCAGCATATTATAGCACACTGTATTACAAAAAGTACTAAAAGTGTCCATTTCTTGCATAAAACTTTCCTGGAAAAATCCTTTGCATGTTTAAACAAAGAAATTGCACCTAATGTGACTGCCACAATAAATCCAATCAGATTCACAGCTATTAAAAAAATGAACTTGAGAAGAGTGTGTTTAAGTCGTCATTTTATGAAAGGCATTTCCACACCTGCCCTTGGAAACTTTAAAAACATCCTTTGTGCTTTGTGTTTCGATGCTTTTTTTTTTTCTAGCGTTTTCCTTTCTTTCCTAACATCTTTTGTATGCAAAATATATATAAAAGAAAAACATTAAGAGAATTCACACAGAAAGATTACTATAGCCCCCCAAACATATGCAATACATCGTTGCTGTGTAAGTAATGTAACACTCGGATGCATTTGGTTGCATACAATTACTTCACCCATTATGCGTGTGTGTGTACTGAAGGAAGAATAGGAAATACAAGAGAGGAGGAGGAAGGCTTAGCGGACTCATTTTTACATTGCTGGTCTCCTGCGCTCTGATGGACAGATCATTAGATCATTTTCACTGGCGTCCCTCTGAGATCCGGATCTGGTGAACTACAGTCACGCAAACCCAGCTTTACTACGGGCTCTTAAAGGGCCAGAGCTTCCTTTAAACACAAATGAAAACTGCCCAGACTAAGAGACTGACCACTAATACATCCATCCACCAAATTTTTTTTCTTTTGTCATTTATGCTTCCCAAGGCTGTTTATTTGATCAAAAATACTGTAAAAACAGTAATATTGTGAAATATTACAATTTAAAATGGTTTTTTATTTGAATATATTTTAAAATGTAATTTATTTCTTTGATGCAAAGCCAGTCTTGGAAACAAAGATATTTTCGAGATTCTTTAACGAAATCCATCCATCCAATTTAACAATTCTTCTATCCATCAATTCATACCATCCAACCTGGGTTTCCTGGGCAATTGGTCACGTGACACAAACATAACAGACCACTGCGCAGCCATATGCGCTCTGATGGTAGATATTTTTCATATCACTAGCACTAATGGCAATGGCTTTCCAACTGAACTCAGCTTAACCTTGCCAAAGGGGGGTCAACAAGCGCATTTCGTGAACTAATGGTTGTGGTGTGAGAGAACCTGAGTTTGGAAACAGTTTTCACATGAGATCATGCATCAGTCTGCTGGCACACGGCTCTGTTTGCTCTATTAGTCTTGTTTTACATGACTTTTATTATAAATTCTGTTTTACTGAGCATTGCATATTGATTTGAAGCCTTTTCCCAGGAATGCTTCACAATCCCTAAATGGCATATATAATGAATAACACAAAGCACAAAGAATTTAAAAATGTCATTTGTTTAGTGACAGTTTAAAGGAAAGAGGGGACTGAATGTGTTGCAAGGAGAAAATAAAGGATTTGCACAAGGCCTCACCATGTCAGGCGAACATTATTAAAGTTGTCACGCAACAGAACACTCCTTCCTTTATGATGTATCTGGGTCATTTTTACTAGTCGTTTGCACGACACTGTGTGCAAAGGAACCGCTTTCCGGTTGCCAACAAACACGGAGCCCACAAATGTTTACTGGAGGTTTTGATGTT